ATGATCTTTTCATTCTTAAATTTTACAAATATTCATGTAAAAGTGAGTTCAAGATTGCAATTATTAATGCAAACTAGTAAATATGGTGCTTTATTCCCAGTAGTTACATGTACTCTGTTCCACATAGAAAAATTGTAACCCAAAAGTTACATGCCAGGAACTAGTGGAAATAAATTTAATGTTTTTATCTCTATTCTCATTAGTTCCATACGTAGAGAGATTCCTAAAGCTGCACATCATGGTTGTTTTCCCATATTAGAGGTGCGTGATCAGCATTTGTTTCAAACGAGGATGGTTCACAACTGACGAAATAAATGTGACAATGGTGAAATATCGACGTTAACGGTTTGCCTACCTCAAACTTAAAGAGAGCAATAAAATTATTGGGTATTGAAAAACATAACTTCAAAATAAACACAATTTTCACTAAACAATATTGAAATACTCCCGTTACACTCGAAACCCCAAACATGCTATAACAAAAGAGCAGTAGCCGTAGAGCTCCTTGTGAAAGAGTTCGTCCAGGGAAGTACTACATTACCTATTTCTGCCGCCAAGCAGTAATGTTAACATTACTGCGTTCCGATTTTGAAGGGTAAGGGCACTGGTAAAATTACAGGCACATGGGACTTTTCAACTTATGTCTCAGGGTGACGGGCGCAGTGGCAGTGCCCATCAGTCCTTTGTGATTTAAAGCTCTTAAGTGGCACTGCAACTGTTATGGACAGGCGTGTAGCTTACCATTAGGCGCACGACTTGTTCGTCCCGTCACTTGATATTATGTATAAAAAAAACATATCTGTTCACATGGAAGTAAAAAACCCTTTACTCATTGAGTAATTAACTAAATCACTTCGTATTTTTCCAAAAATCAAGGCCAATATTGCTAATACAAACACTTGGTAAATAACTTTAATAAACTGATTACTTCGAATTGAAATGCAAACAAGATTATTTTATTTTACGAGTATGAGCATCTGTATTAAATGTGGTGGGTCATTTTTCAAATTTATTTGATCTGTCTATGTATTTTGTAAAACAAGGGGTCTTCCAATGCACTGACCGATTCATTATGTACACTGACGTAAATAACACTACGGTAGCCACTAGAATAGACGAGATGCGTAATACAATAACCATTATTTCCATTTCGTGGAAGGGTTAAGATATATCGAATAAACAAATTTAATAGGGTGGAAAACATGTTACAATTTTTATTTCGTTAAAGGTCGTTAATTTAATATAACTTCACGTATGATTAACGGTGATGCTGATGATAAATAGGTAATTTTATATTTTTGATGACTGTTGTGTGAGTGTTTTGACCGTAACCTCGAGTTATCAGCTAACATTTATTTATAGTGTCCCGTGCTATAATATGTTTACTTATCTCTCCCTTATGTAGGTGTTTAACGGAACCTGGTTTATCTCACATGAAGAGGTTCTTAAATAGGCTAAAGTTTTTAGTAATAGTAGAGCTCCTTGTGAAAGAGTTTGTCCAGAGAAGTACTGCCACCTTACCTATATATCTGCGGCCAAATAGTGATGTGAGCATTGCTGCGTTCCGGGTTAGAGGGACAAAGGGTGCTGGTGAAATTACAGGCACATGGGACTTAATCAACTTAGTGTTAGATCTTTACGTTTTAAAGCTCTGAGTGGCACTGCAACTGTCATGGATAGGCGTGTCGCTTGATAACATAAATAAAAAGTTCTTTTTATTTTGTAATAACCATGCTATAGAAACCAACTTGTAGAAAAATTCAAAATCCATGTTTAAATTTTGCAACTCCACCAAATATCTGCGATGTACGCGCGTGCTTATCGAGCAATATAAATGTGTGTGGAAATAAAGTGTTGGCGTGGCGAATTGGTTCCGCAAATCTCAGTGGAATTTTCCACGTGTACAAAATGCATAATAGATTAATTGAAAAAAAAAAAAAAAGTCTTGTAAAGGGGCACGTGTCGTGTCCGTTGTCCAGGTATAACACACAATTCCTAACGGTTTTACATTTCGTAACATTTCAAAAGGTGCAATTTTCACATAATATACCAAATATTTTTTCGCTTTTTGTAAAATTTGCTTAATTTGATTGTTGACATATACTACGAGAAATTAAGAAAACGAATAATTAATTAACCAAATAAATAAACACTGTCACAATAATATGATTTTTAAATAAATGTAACCGGTTCGACGACGTCAGAGTATTGTGAAGTTTATAATTCAAATTCAATTTAAAATAGAGTTGATGACGTTGTAGCCTTATTAATTATTAAGATCCATAGGTACTGTCGTGATCATCAACTTCGACCTTACGTAGTAAAATTTTAATTGGCTGTTTAAGTACATATCCCTGTACGAGGAATACGTTATTCAATTGTTTTCCTTCAGTTACATGCATTCTCATGGCTTGAACATTTTCTTATCGTTGTACCTAGCTATAAAAAAACAAGTTCGTCATAATTTGAGAAATGCTCAACGTACTTATTTTTTAGTCACGAGTAAATATTTCTGTCCATAAAAGCGACGTGAGTCAAAATGATAGGAATGTACCGACACAATAGCTAACCATTGTAAAAGGTTAGTACGTAGGTGATAGTCGGACAAGTACCTTATTTTATAATAAGTAAGGAAGGGAAATGAAAACAATACCTTTTTCCGCGTGGAATATTCAACAATTTTCTATAGCAATTTATAAAATAAAAATTATTCGGTCAATCGCAACGATAGACGCTTAACCCACAGAAGAGGTACATGTACGTGATACGTTACGCGTATTCTCCCCTCTTTTATCTGTGCTCGCTGTGTGATATATTTGTGCAGTCCAAATATTGTCCCAGTGATAACGTACAAATTATGCATGCCACCAAGTAGGAAGGCTGGTTATGTCTGCATTAATTGATAATCCCCTTTTTTCTGGGATTTGGGACCCGTGATAATATTATGATTATTTCTCATTCTGTGACTGTGGAAATCCCTGAAACTATATGTCACAAAAGTATATAGTACGTTTGTAAGTCAATGATAGTACGGGATGCTTAAATCTAAAATAATGTAATGATGGAGTTGTTATGGGTAATAAAGCTAATAAAGTATGAAAAAGGTTCCGATATTTAATTCAGTGTTCTACTGTTTATATTATTCACTTGCCTATGCCATGCCATTTCCTTTCCTATCGTATTATTTTTATAGCCAACACATGAAAACAAATGATGGCATTTAACGATTGTTAAAAATATAAATTATATATCTGGTCATTTTACTACGACAATTGGACGTTAAAGTTAAACAAAAAGGATCCAATCCACAAAATTATAAAAAATGTACCAAACAGTTCCTAAAGTCTGACCTCTTAGATTAGTAAAAACGTTTTGATAATATACATGTGTTTGTAGCGGCAGATCCTACATGTAGATAGCAGAAACAAATCGTGAATTAGCTGAAAGTAATTTCTTTATGGGATAAACACGTCTTTTGTACATTATTATTAAGTATTTTACAGTAAAGTGCTCATGTACGTACCTACGTTGGTGTGTGAATAATTTCACCTACTAAACTCTCCGAAATATGCCAGTAATATAAGCCTAACAAAGTAATTAGTTCATGGTATCGGATAAAGTATTATGCTGTGGAGCAAGCGAAGTAACAGGGTTGGAATATCAAGCACGCGAGTTCTGGTGTCGGTGGGGCGGATGTTCCCTGGCTTACAATTGCACTATTGCAATAGGGGTCAGCAAGCTGATTTTGATTCAAATCGGAATCGAACCGATCGGGTAGTCTCGAAATCAGATGGGTTTCCGAACGAGAAGATGAACCTGATTCCTACTATATCTTTCTAATTTGTGAGTTACGATTTGAAATGTCAAAAGTTTCCGATCGGCTAGTTGTGAATCGCAATTATGCGCCTCGACTCGGAAGAGACGCAGTTTCCGATCGGGAGAGGCAATCAAAATCAAGCTGCGGGAAAGAAAAACGTGCGCGACCCCGGACCTGCGGGTGATATCGGTTCGCTTGAACCCAGTAAGAGGCAGTGGCCTGTCGCACGCTGCCGCTGGTGACAATGACGTAGCATCACGCCACCTCATTATCACAGCTTGAACCTTGACATCGTCGCTATAATACACATATTACGTACGTACTAATCATGCTTTGAGCAATGAACAAGTTTTATAATACAATATAGGTATATGTAGGTTCGTATTTTGTTCTTTTGGTTTCTGAACAATACAAGAAACCAGTAACAATTGGCATTATTAACAGGCTTAGAAATTAAGATGGTTATAATTGTTTTACATGTAAAACTTTACATTTAGTATAGAAATAACAACTCCATGCGTTTCCATAGAAAAATGAGTAACAGTAGAGTTAGAGCTGAATATTACGTTATTTAATACAAAACAGTCGAGTTGATTTGCAACAGGGTCATGAAACAATAGCAGGCAACCTCCACGCCTGCCCCCCGCACGTCATCACGTGACGTGACTGATTTTGACGCTGAATCAACTGCAACTCCCAATATCGAATATGCAAATAAAATAGATTTCTAACATTCCTAGATTGCTAATTGCTAAGAAAAATAAATAAAGAGATTGCCGACAAGTCACGTTTGATTTAGGTACCTACATGTCGCCTTCTACACAACTACTTGATCTGTAAATTGTAATTAACTTTATCTCTGCTTTAAAACTAATTTGTAATGCTTAGGTACTCAATAATAAGATTTGATTAATTGTCAAAATAATGTATTTTCTGATAATATTGACATGGATTAATTCGTGAGATATGGTATGGTGTAACGGGTTAGTTTCCGCAATTCGTTGTCGCAGCGCCTATTTTACGTGCGGTAAGTTCAGGGTCCTATTCGTGCCACCCGAGCTCCTCCAGGATCTTAACATCCTCTTGGGTTTCGCTCAAGATTGCGAAGAATACTCCATGGTATTTCGAAAACAAAAGCGTGAACATATATTTGTGACCATGTTTGCTTGCTTCTTGTTTGCAGTCTTTACGGTCCGCCGCGCCGTTCAGCACGGAGGCCGCAGCAATAGCGGAACGCGAGCGCTGCCACTACGGGCGAATCCCGCGCGCCACTGCGTTGGCGGGCACGGCGCCGCGCAAGGTGCGCGTCTACTCCGATGGCATCTATGATATGTTCCATCAAGGCCACGCGCGGCAGCTGCAACAGGCCAAGACCGTCTTCCCTAATGTTTACCTTATCGTTGGAGGTGAGATTACGCACTGTAAAGGGCTGATGGACACTTGGTTGATACCGATTGTGACTTCGAGGATGTGTTCAAATTGACTCGATCGTGTTGCATAAAATTATTAACAGAGTATCAAATTACTGTCTAAATTGAAGCAAATATCAATCATACTGGATAGCCTAAAACGATGCTTGTGGTCATGTTAATTTGAACAGTCGTAAATATTTTATTTTACTCATACCACATGAGTAATTCATACTCCTGCTAAACAAGAAACTAACTGACCAGCACTGTAACATTATCTACTTTCGTTCCGTCACATTCACGACACTGTTTTAATCTCGCAAGGTATTGCGCGTGACTATCCTATAAAACTACTTTGTCGATGAATAGGCACTCGAAAGCAAGTCAATAAATTTGTTGCCAATATTTGAATTCGTAAATTATTATACAAAGATTTATATATTATTACAAAGATGAACGTAGTATAGAAATCGTATGGGGACATCGCTTTACATAAATATACGGAACAAGTACTTTTGGTCCCTGTAATTTTCCAGGAACGGGTAGTAACATAGCAGCTTATTTAGATGTCACTCCCATTTTAAAGTCCGCAGACTTTATACCCTCTGGTTGATCGCTCCATTTGAACTGACCCTCTGTGGTTCGATTTTGATTTATTATGACACTGCGTTTCTTTCAAGACTTGCGAACGATAATATCCATGGACTTGTCAATAATACAATGTAGGTACCACTTACCACACCGTGAAATGCTTGCTGTCGTCACAACGAATTAATATTCCGTTTTTAAAAGCGTTAACTTATCTATGGTAACAGATGCAGATTCTGTATATTTGCTGTTACATGTAGACTATTAACAATCGGCAGTGATATTGTCAAACGCTTAGAATAATAATGCATAGAATAACGCATAGAAACCTAGCCCGCACACGTTAAGTGAGGCAAATTGTAGGACACCCTATGGGCTTACACGAGCGAGCGGGCTGTCAGTGCTCAAGGTCAAGTTGCACCGCGAGGAGCTCAAAATTTTTTGCTAAAAATGACGAATTGTGCGGTAATTGGGTTTAAAAATAGATCAGACAAATATAAAATAGACACTAACATGCGTTTCAACTTGTATTTTTATATAAATATTCACTAAAACAGAAAATTAATTTCGTTGCAACAAGATACGAAAATGTTGCAAAGTAACGGGTTTTTTCTCCCCATTTTGCTATTCTGTTTCAAAATAATTATATTACGTAATTTTTTGAGAATAGGCAATATCGCAACGGTTGCAAAATTTCTACAAATGTACACCGCCGCAACAACATTGTAGGGAATTTACGTTAGCTATTTCTACGAAATATATTTAGTATTTGCCTTCATTAGTTTCATGTGAAAAATCATTATTCTTGTTCATCATACACTCATTTAAAAAAAATTGTCTTGCCCAGGTTTAAAATTCTTAATTAAATTTATTTCAGGAAACTAACTCTGACTAAAAAGTCATCGTCAGTTCTCCAAAATCGTTTTTAGTTCTCCAAAACTTTCAAGTTCAGGTTCTTAATTGTTATCGTGTACTTTTCATGTAAACATACCCACAGATAATATCAGGCTATTTATATATTCAAATTCGATAGTCTCACTTAAACTCGCTTGTAGGTTTTTGTTCATATATGAGTTAAATAAAAATTGAGTAGTATTTAATAAGGTGCCTACAGATTTGCTCGACATTGTCGATCGACAGTAACGATTGAGAATTATAGACGTTTTCGAGGAGTTTTAGAGTGCTTATTACGAATGTAGCATTAATTTCTAAATCCAAGATGGTTGACAATAATTTTCAAAAATGTATTTTTGGTAAACCATAAGGAAATGGCATGTATATCTGAATACAAGATGGGGGACAAGACTTCTAATTCTTCTTCTTCTAATTCTTTGCCATCTTGGATTTAGAAATATGTGCTATATTCGGAATGAGCAGCCCCTAATACCTTGAAAGCGACACCCAACTTGCCATTATTCGAAAAATCGTGCCCACCATCTTGGATTTAGTAATTAGTGCCATGTTCTTAATGAGCACCCCCAAATACCTCGAAAACGACACCCAACTTGCTATTATTTGAAAAGTCATGTCCGCCATCTTGGATTTAGAAATAAGTGCTATATTCCTAATGAGCACCCCCAAATACCTCGAAAACGATCCCCAACTTGCCATTATATGAAAATCATGCCCGCCATCTTGGATTTAGAAATGAGTGCCATATTCGTAATGAGCACCCCCGAATACCTCGAAAATGATACCCATATTGCATTTATTTCAAAAGTCGTGTCCGCCATCTTGGATTTAGAAATAAATGCCATATTCGTGATGAGCACCTCGAATACCTCGAAAACGATTCCCATATTGCATTTATTTGAAAAGACGTGTCCGCCATCTTGGATTTAGAAATGAGAAAAGTCGTGTCCGCCTTCGTGTATTCAGATATAAATGCCATTTCCATAATGATTACCAAAAATAAATTTTTGAAAATTCCTGTCACTTGACGTTGTCGATCAACAATAACGATCGACAAAATCGAGCATATCTGTAGGCACCTGATCGACAAAATCGAGCAAATCTGTAGGCACCTCTAACTTAACGATAAATAAATAAATAAATAACGCACACACTCAACATAGCCCCGCACTAGGGAAACCCTGTGTCGCGGGTGCCATGGACACACACATGGACAACCACAAATTACACCCAAACTCACGAGAGAAATAATTGTAGGCCATACAACTATTTCTCCCGGCCCGGGAATCGAACCTGGGACCTCTGCGTGGCAGTCCGGCATGGTAACCGTTCGGCCACGGAGGCAGTTAAAGAGATGAGTTAAGCAAGATACAATTTCCCCACTTTTGAGGGAAATGTTATTTCATGGCATCATTATTTGTATATTTGGTGCGTGCCGACGAGCGTAAATACAAGTTGCTTACGCCTACATGAATTTGATTTTTGCCTCACTTGTGACAGTTCGTTTTTTATGAAACTATCATTCTATGCGTTATTATTCTAAGGTCAAACGTATATTATTTAATTTACAGCCATAAATTTACTTTTATTCTTAGTAATCAAGTTATTTAAGCTGTAAATTACCAGGTGCGATTGGTTTGGTGGTGTCGTACGATGGTACGATGCTTTATCACAAGATAACGAACACGTGGTTTTACATGGTAGTGTTATGACTAATATGTGCTATATATATATTTGTAAGGAATTACCTGATCACACCAATATTGAGATATTAGAGGCCTTGATTCATTTTGATAATTATCGTAGTTTAGTGTCTTTAAGGTCAGCAAACTTCAGTCACAAACACTCTACGGGATGCGTGACTAAAGAGGATATATTGCTAATGTCTACATAATAATGACAATTATCTTAACACAAAAATTGAGCACTTAGAAAGAAATCCTTCGATCCGGCTGGATTCGAACAAGCGTCTCCTAGCAAATCGTGCTAGACGCTAAGCCAACTAAGCAATGGAACGAACCAGCGGATCTTACCAAATTTTTGTACGTGTTTATTGCAAATCTGTATTTTTAGTTATCGAGTTCTTAGGTTTTCGCGATTCTTACACATAGGAAATGAAACTGTTTTTCCGGATTTAAATCTCGTATATTTGTTTTTTCAAACAAACCAACGTTTCGGGCCCTTTACAGGTCCCATGGTCACGGTTGACTGAGGTGGTACAGTCTTCAACCAGTTATGTCTAATATTGATGCAAATATAGGGTGGTTTCCGAATAAAAACAGTTTCATTTCCTATTTATTTTTAGTTTTTAACGACTTTATGCCGTAGCGCCATCTGTGAGAAATCTATTCATTACTCAGCCAGCTACCTTTACAATTACCAGCATCTGACTAGAGAAATGTCTTTAATAATTGTAATTAAGTTTATTGAACGTCTAAATGTTTCACCACCATGATATTCCATTAGAATTACGTAGATTAAATTGTCTTTACTCTTCTTTGTCTTAAATGTTTTAGGGAATAATATGGACAGTTTGTACCTCGTGGAAATGATCCTTAAATGCAAAGTACCAAATGACTACTGTACCCGGCGGCGTGATGTGCTCTTGTTAGCAACTGTGCCTTCAAGCGCTGAACAGTACCTACACTCGTCCCTTCCCTATGCGACTACACTACTCAATTCCGTACTCGCAGCATCACCCCATTCCCATGTGATCTGTTTGTGACTGGGATAGCAAGATTGATGACTGAATGGAAGAGAGTGCTAGAGAGAAAACAGGATGGATTTTAGCGATATTAATAATTTAAGTTTAGATTAGTAACGCAATGTTTTGTTTTAATTTTTATTTTTAATTTTGGTTGATTTTGTTTTTATTTTGTTGTTGTTTCTAAATTATTGTAACGCTATAGTAAATACCGTTATGTTACACTTTTTTGTTTGTAAGTAAATAAATAAATATTTTTTTGTGGATTTACTCTACTAGTTTGTTAAAATTTATTAATACAAAGATCGAACACTTAGAAAGAATACCTTTGATCCAGTTGGGTTCGAACCAGCGTCTCATGAGTGAAGAAGTTGATTCCTCATTTATGACGCCATGGTAAAAAGTCGTTCTGCAACAAGCATATAGAAAACTTCGTATAGTCCGCTGGTTCGCTCCGTGGCTTAGTTGGCATAGCGTCTAGCACGGTTTGCTATGAAACGCTGTTTTGCTATGAAATTCGAATCCAGGCGGATCGAAGGATTTTTTTCTTAGTGTTCGTATTAATAATTATATCAAACTAGTAGAGTAATTTCACAAAAAGTAATTGAATGTCATGGTAGTGAAAATCATGACATGCTTATGACAATTTAATTACATAATAATGAGTTAAGTATTAATGTTTGTTCCAGTATGCAACGACAAACTGACACACAGCCGCAAAGGGCGCACAGTAATGACAGAAGATGAGAGATATGAGGCCGTCCGACATTGCAGATATGTAGATGAGGTAAGTACCGACTCAATAGGAACGAATCCCGTAAACATTGTGAATTTTTTAGGTCACCTGGCGGACGCACACTTCACCTCAGCATTTTGTAAATTTTTTGTCACGACCACGAACAAGCACTGTGTAACACATTGAACGCAATGAATTGACTTCTGGACTTGTGTACCTAAAAATGACTAGTATTTCAAAGGTGATCAAATATAATAATGAGAATATACTTTAAGGCTGACGTAAATCATTTGAAATCCTCGCCTCATGTTTTGGACCGTTAAGGAAAAAATGTGGTAATTACACGTGAGAAGATCGTAGATAATGCAGTTAACGTCAGCCCCTGGTAAAAATAAACCAATTAAAATATCACCGATCTTCCGCCGCAGCGTCGATTAAAGTCTAAAAATAAAACATTCCTATGTTTTTTTAAATTCCAATGTTTGAGTGAACTTGAACGATAATAGAGAAGAAGTGTTACGTGATCTCTTTGTCAATTCTAAAAGGAAGCAAAGAGTTTTTAAACATAACTGCAGGGGGAACTTTCACAATGAATGTACATGTATATATAAGATTCACAATGCAACTACTCATTTTGTTATTTTGATATAATTATAACACGATAGAAGTATATCGAGTTCTTAGGTTTTCGCGATTGCAGGGGGATCTTTCACAATGAATGTTCATGTTTATGTAAGATTCACAATACGACTACTCATTTTGTTATTTTGATACAATTTATAACATGATAGAAGAATATCGCGTTCTTAGGTTTTCGCTGTTCTAACATAGAAAATGAGTCAATCGTAACTATGGGTTCTGTAAAGGATCCGGAACCTTGGTTTGTTTGAAAAACAAGTATACGCGATTAAAATCTGAAAAATATCTTTCGTTTCCTACGTAAGAAGAACTTGCTTACTCTTTATTGGTTGTTATGTTATTGCATTTTTGAGGAATCTAAGGATTTCAACATCGCTTTAGGGACTTTCCGAGTTAGAGAGTCACCACATTAATCAACGCGGAATCGGCTTGAGCCGTCAGATCAGAACAAGCTTTAAAACTATGCAATACAATCATTGACTTACAAATAAATGGACGACGGGTCTAATGCAAAAACCACGAAAAAAATGTCCCAAGTCAACCTATTTAAACGTAGTGACATGTAAAGGAATATGAAAAAGCTAAAACGTTGAATTTAAATTGTAATGTCATCGCAGTACTGTCTAATTTTGCTTGCTTCGCTGTCAGTCGAACAAACGAAGACTAAAGCGTGAATGACGGTCTGTATACGATTTTAACGCCCTATAAGTTCGGACACTTTTTAGCGCGGACCCGACGTCCATATAATTGTAAGTCAATGAATGCAATAGATAATGTATTGCATAGTTCTACTTGATATACCTTTAGACAACGCGACTCAACACAGATGAAACATACAATGTCTTTTTCTTTCTTATTGCAAGGATATAAAGCCTTTTTTGAGGGGCTGAAGCCAATTTCGTGTCGACGAGTTGTTTAGTGTCATTGTCAGCCGCGTGCCGGTTGTGCTCTCACACGATATGTAAAAACGAAATACTCCGCTATCTTTATGTTACAGCGTACCTACGTAAATGCGTGAATTCTTTAATCGAACACCTATTTCTACGTAATTTTTTTGGTACATATGTGCCTTTACAAACGTACGAACGCCAGTTGGAATAGGGTCGTATCTTTTATTTATTATATTATTAATTGAACATGTCGTGTGTACACCCACATAAATAAACGATTGTTTTATACGTTGTGTCATTTACAGGTAGTACGTGACGCGCCTTGGGAATATACTGAGGAGTTTTTAGAGAAGCACAAAATAGATTTCGTCGCACACGACGACATCCCTTATACAACTTATGACTGTGAAGATACATACGCTTGGATAAAGGCGCTTGATATGTTCGTCGCCACTGAAAGAACAGAAGGTATAATCATTATTCAGTTTGTAACAGCGCATATTATACACCTACACCATCAATTCCTCTCGTAGATGTCCTAGAAATTTTGAAATGGCCAATAGTGCCCCTTAGTTTTAAAGAGAGGCCACACCGCTCTCTTTTACTTTACAACTTTTGTACGTTCATCTGTGATTTTAAGCGAATTTTAAAGAGGATTGTATGGAAATGGTTACATTTTTAATACCAGGTATTTTGCACGCATTATTCTATACGGTGCTGACTAGTAAATCACGAGTTGGTCCACGGAAATCTATTTAAAAACTAGTTTACACACGGTTACGTTGGCTATTTGACATTTTGTTTATTCATAAATATTATTAAAAATTGTTATTAACAGAACTACACCTACAATCTAAATCTAAAGTAAATCATCGCTACTTAGGCAAACATTTTGTGCCATTAAAAAGTTAATCTAGTAAATGCAATAACTTTAACATTTAATTCCGGGGGCATTAGCGTTGGCCCCAGAGACGTTTGGTTTTTCATAGTTTAGCCTGTTTAAATCGGTAAATTAATCCAATAGTCAAGTTAGGCACAACGAATCAAAGGCAGCTTTAATAATATTCAGGCTGTCAAGGCTTGCAACATTCGAATGTCTTGGTATGTTCTCGTAAAGGGACAAATTCATGTCTATATCAATTTAAAGTCCAAAGCATAGGTTCCCAAACTTTTTGGTTCACCGCCCATTTAGGCAAGATAAAGAAATTTCAACGCCCACCACAACAAAAAATAATTGAAAATACGTTTTTATTATATTATCTTAACACAAACAATCAGAAGGCAAAAGAAATATATACCTATATGTAGTGTAGTTTATGATAGATAATACAGGTTTTTTTTTTCGAATTCAGTAGCACCCCCTGGATAGCATCAACGCACCTCGGAAGCAATTAGGGGTAATTGCTTCCGAGGTGCCACTGGGACCACTTTGGGAAACTATTCTCTAAAGATTAATTCTTAATTAAGCTTGCTAAGCCTTAATTAATATTTATTACTTAGTTATACTCACGTCCTTGGATTCCTATTGGGGTAGGCAGAGACTATCGATCGCCACGACTAACGATCGCCACTTAGTAGGTAACATTTAAATCACGTAACAAATCCATGGATATGTACCGCCCATTTCTCAAACTTTGGATAGATATAATTGTATTCAATGTTCTGTTGGTTGGCGTTGACATTTAAGTATATTTTAAAAGTTTTGAGTCAATTTATGATTTTGAGGGACAGAGCCCATGGAGAATAGAGTGACCAAGATTTATGAGAGTCTATTTTTATGATTCCTTAGGTATGTTAGGAACACATAGATTCTTCACGGCTGTCTGCCTATATCTCACAAGTTCGTTTAAGTACATACTGTTAAGAAATTATGTCTAAAGAAATATATACCCTACAATATATACCCAAAAGCTAAAATGACAAAATGAAAAAGTCTACATTTATTCCATTAAATGCAATGCCGTTGTTTAAGTCTTTCGAAATGCAATAAAAAATATCAAGGGGATTCAAGAACGTTAAATGCTCCATTCTCGATCGACATATTCGCGCTCAAAGTAAGTCGTCGCAAATACGTTGGTAGGTATCGTTGGAAAAATATTATTTGCACCGCTTCGACTTATCGCTTCATCTTTAGAATACAATAGGACAAAAGAGTGAGTCGTCCATTGACTTACAAATAAAGTCGTCTCGGTAACCTACGTGTCATCATCGTGTCATGTCGATAGTAAGAAATTTAGGAGTGCTACTGGATTCCGAACTAAAATTTGAGAAGTACGTTCAAGAGATAGTAAGTAACTGCTTCTATAGCTTGAAAGTGCTTTACATGGTACACAGATTTGTAAGCATTGAACTCCGCGTTAACCTTGTGGACTATCTGGTACTTTCCAAATTCAATTATGCAGACACCCCAGGTATATCTGCCGTCCACTAACTAGAACGCGGCTAAGTGAGAAATGGTCAAATATCCGTTTTATATTTAAAAGATAAAGCACACAATTCTCTTATCGGAATTTACCCTAACGATGCATAGAATAATATCATTAAACAATTTCAATATTCAAAAACTGGGTTATGGTATTTATGATATCTCAAAAAAAATTTTTGTCACTTAGCGGACAGCAGATATGGTCCACGACTCGCTAAAACCAAAAGCCTAGTGCAACGCGTACAGAATGCCTGTACCAGATTTCGTTTTGATGTTCCTAGTAGAGGTCATGTTACACGATTATCAGTCATGCGAAATTGCTGAATATGTCATCTAGAAGACCGGTTCATTTTGCATCTCTACTCTTCAGTATAGTGAAAACATGCAAGCCTTTTTATCTGTACAATAAACTTATTGGTCCTCTCGAACACAAAAGTTGTTTCCCCTTTCGCGTGATGTTGTTCTCCAAGTTGTGCGGAGGTACCGCACAAAACAACTGCCTTTAAGGGCAGTTTCAAATATATGGCCACTAAAATATGGAATATATAATAATCTCTGACATGTGTAGTATTTTACATACATTCAAGTCATGTAATAATTCCTATTGTTAGTAATTTTTCTACATATTTTTAGTTAATATTAAAGTTAATATTTTATAATTTTAGTGTTTACTACACTAGTACTTACGTGCCATCTCATAAAAGTGCTTCCAACTGAAAACCAACATTACAGCAGGCAAGCTGTGACATATGTTGAGTTGGATCCGTTTCAGCTTATAAATATATGTAATCAATAATTTGTTTTGTCTGTTTTGTATGAATTTTCTTAAGCTGAATAAACGTTTCTTTGTTTCTTTCTTTCGTCTATCCGTATAGTGCAAACAACTAAATTTAACACTTTTGCGCATTGGTACTTATTCTAAACTTGATCATCTTTATGCGGAACTAACTTTGTTGGATTAGTAAGAAAAGAGTCCGCAGTCGGTATTTTATGAAGTACATACAGTTTTAAAAAAAGCAATTTGATGAGTAAAGAAATAATTCAAAAGTAGAATTCAGAAAAACCATTTAACGCACCCATGGCCCGTACAATGGACTAATGTCGTTAAGGCCATACACGCTTTGAGTAAAAGAAGTGTTATAATGGTTTTATTACTCTATTGTAAGAGGATAAGCCGAGAGATAACATTCATCGGTCCAAATAACATTTCTTCAACTATAACAATAAACTTTTGAATATGATTAAGCTGAATTGCTTACAGGCTAAGGAACCCTACTGTGGGCGTGCCCTATCACTTTCTCGTTTTTATAGATGTCTTGTTTTCAACAGGCGTATCAACGTCCGACATCGTGGCACGAATAGTACGTGATTACGATATTTACGTGCGACGGAATCTCGCGCGAGGCTACTCCGCCAAAGAACTTAACGTAGGATTCCTCAATGAGAAAAAGTTCCGTCTGCAAAATAAAATGGACGAACTCAAGGATAAGGGCAAAAAGGTAACATTACATTTCGATCAGCATTTACGTAAAGTTGAGATTGCTAGAATGAATCAAAATAATAACTTCCGAATGTGGCCTTTACTGTTATGTGTATTTACGTAATTATGTACTTCTAACAAACAGGTGATGACAAACATAGGCGAGAAGCGAGTGGATATTCTTACAAAATGGGAGGAGAAATCTCGCGAGTTGATTGATGCATTCCTGTTACTTTTCGGTCCGGACGGACGGTTATCTAACATTTGGAACGAGTCCAAGGGTAGGCTCATGCAGGCGCTCAGCCAGCCGCCTTCGCCGCGCTCGTCACCTCCGCCTTCGGAAAATGGGGACTCCAATCACTCGCCTGCCCATAGGTATTTGAAACATTGTCATCCAATTATCAACACTCTATTCAATTCCTTGCATACCGCAGTTCTACAAAACTTCATTGATGCCTATTGAATAAATTAAATGTTTTTATTGCACATAAAAATACAGTTACAACAGCTAACGTACAACAGGAGGCCTTATTGCTAATTAACAATTTCTTCCATGCAACCTCAGGATAGAAATGTAAGAGTTTGCAAAGGGGTGTAGCCAAAGACAACTAATAATAATAACATAATCCGGCCCCAGGAATCGAACCTCTATGTGGCAGACCAGCATGGTAACCGTTCGGTGTAGGAGGCAATTAGTTAAATCCTTAATAGACGTATTTCAAATAAATACATTACATATTTAATACTAATAATGTAATATATTAATAATAGTTACTTATTATGGTTTTGTAGAAAACAAACTATAAATAAATATACACAAGGAAATAATAAACACTATGTATGGGATTTTTAGAGAAAAGACAAAAGTTATTGATATGGTATATGCGTTATGGTCGATATGGCTTATTGATATGGTTGCCATGGTAAAGGGAACTGTTTTTTTAGAGAACTTATAATGCGCTTTTCTTCCACAGAGGGTCGGCTTCGCCACCGCCCCCTAAATCGCGACGTTATGAGACCTTATGGGAGCCCCAAGCAGGTAACTGGGTAATTATGCACTGCTTGTATAATTTGCTAGAATAGTCTCCCACATGCACATGAGCGCGACGCTTACTTACACTGTATTTCACCTCACCCCTTTATTTTTGTTGTATGCTGCACAGTTTGATTAACAGTATTCACTATTGTTACAAGAATTAAAAACTTTTATTTATTAGCTTTGGTATTTTTTAAGTTTTGAACTGTAGTAAAGTAGCTTTGTTTTTGTTCTATGAGTGTGTATTGATTTTTAATCTGACTGCTCGTCCTCCTAAGACCCTGCAAGCAAACTAATGGAAAAAGCGCTAAACGACTAATTACATTAAAAATGTACTAAATATAATTACATGCTTCATGTCTTCAGTTTTATATGAAAAACGTATTTTTCCAGATTCCCTATGGTCATATAGAATATATGTATGGTGCTAAATTTGAATGCGATATTTTCATTACAATGAAACTAAGCGTTTAACGTGTTGTTTCGAATCATTTCATGTATTATATACATGTTTATATTCACGAGGTCTTAAGAGACTGTCATATATGTATGTGTTCATTCTTTGTAATATATGGTTGTATTTGAAACAAGATAATAAAACAGTCCTGTAAAAGCACGAACAAATCCCATTGTTTAGCATATCTTAGTGAATTTAATAGTCCAAACCCAACTCGATCGTACATAATAATAATAATAAACCCGTCATAGATAGTGTGCCTACAGTAATGTATGTTTTGTGCAGATGCATCGAGCTCAGAATGTATTGGCGATAAGGAAGAGGCCACACAGCGTCAATTGACAGACGACGGCTCCGAGGACAGCGACGACGACTACCAAGATACCAGCCCTTACCTCTAGGTAGTGCCTTCTGCCCTTGTTGGCGCCCTGTGATACCGCACACTGCTCTATCTCACGACGTCCATACTATCGAAGCGCTAAAATATTCTCGTTTTAATGTTGCACTAAATTTTACTGCTGTTCGTTCTTTCGCTTTATTGACAAAAAAACATCGGGCGCGAAATGTGTGAACATCTTTTAACAATTTTGCTCATTAAGTCGAGAATAGTTGAGCATTGTATCCGCTGTGTTCGCGGGTGATCTGTTTTTTCGAGAAAATGTTTGTGTTAAATTATTGTAGATGGGTCTACATCTTAAATTTTTGTGTTTGCTGTCTGGGTACAAATGCGTGAATGTATTTAATCCTATTAGTTGTAATTATGTATTATTTAATATTTTAAGTAAATTCCTTTCATGTGTTTCGATGGACATTTTGCAGAACATTTGCAGTTTGTTAGCACCTTAAATACTGTAATATAAGATATAGGAGCATACATTGTTGCTTAAGCAGATAAAATTTATATAATAACTTTTTGACAGTCGATTAAAAAGGTGCTTATTTAAAAACGGTAATTGTTTTATTTTGCCTACTTTAATTTTCATGTTAAAGGAATTAAAATAACGTTGGTTAGCGCAAATCTTATTACAGCATGACTTTAGTTTGTGTGTCAGAATCACGGGACCAATAGATTGGTACGTCGATGACTGTGACATATCTATTGTGTTTACCACTTTAGTTTAGGATAAGCATCTTTAGTTCAACACTCGAGTCCGATTTAAAAGTTAATTTCTGGTTTAAAATGGGCTGAAATTCCAAAATCAGGTTTGTGGAATCACAAGTATTTTACATTGTATTTTGAGCAATAATGGCAGTTTGTAGAATGCAAAGTTGATTTGAATTTAATTTGAACTATACTGTAAACATGCTTGTTTACGGGTAGATATTTCAAACTCTTGTGGTAGTGAAGCTGCTTAACATAGGCATGGTCTTGCCAACCTTAAAAACTTTAGAAAAATATTACGCGGAATCTCACCGGGTATTTGTATGAAGTTCCACGGCTAAAACGAACCCGAAATATGACGTTATACCGCCCTGCCCTCTTAATTAAAGTGCAATAACTAAGTCAAACCTGTTTTCGAGAAAAACGGGGTTAAAGAAAATAATTTAAAATTTACTCTAGCTTCAAAACTTACAGCGACATGGCATATATCAATAAAAAGGTAAAAGAATGAAAACTTATAAGGTGACATATTTATATATGGATGTTAAGGTTATGTATGATAGTATTTCAAAAGTATACTTATGTTTAGTAATTGCTCTAGTAACACAACTGGTCCTCCTAACCATAGCGGCAGTAAGTACCTTAGATACTGCACTAATTATTAGATAAATATCGTAATGCTATTTATTTAATCTAGAAACTACATATTCAAAAACAAATTAATAATAATATATATATAATAAGTAACTTACAAATACTGCAGTTTTCGCTAAAAATACACTTCATATTGATGCTATTTTCTAATGTTTTATACAGTCGAAACTCACAATTTGTTAGTATTTTCCTGCTAAACATCGACGTAAAGTGGCAGAATGCGGCATTGCTTTAAGGTTTTTGAGAGTATCGGTGGCCTAATTCCCTCCCTTCACTTTTTTCTTTCCTCTTTTCTCGCTTCCTTCCCTTCTATAGTGTTAGCAACGACTGAGTAATACCACTGGTATTACAAGCGTACATGATAGGCTACGGTAAGAGTTCGAGTCCCACTGTTTATTGTATATACAACTTCTTATTCAAGGAATAAATTATTTCTATTTCTCGGACAAAATGTTAATTGGATTGGGAATATAAAGAGATGAAAAATGTATAGATATGTTTATTAATTTCGTACATTTATAAAATTAGAATAATACAAAGAAAATTCCTGTATTATTTGTTTGTTCAAATCCCGGATATATGAACCCTTAATCACATTTCGATTGACAATAAAAATTATTGAAAAAATCAAACATTGCCTTATATTGAAGTTAGTTAAAGTTCAGTCTCCTTATTACGATTATTAAGTTGAGGAACTATAATTTCAGAAAACGTTTCTTTATTAAAGAACTATATTATTATTATTATTAAAGCTATGACAACTGCTATAACATTAATTATTTTACTTGAGATCAACTTCAAATGTCAAAAACACATTTTTTCGCAAGTATTTATAAATATTACGCACTACGCACAGGAAGCGTACGACGCACAGAGGACTATTTCACCTCAAATCAAAAGATCTTGTTTTGGTGTTAACGACTACGTATTTAACTCAATTCAATTTCGTCAAAAATGCTAGTTACTGCACTTTCCATTAGGACCGTGGCGCCCTCAACGGTACCTTTTGCTTGCATCCCACACAAGTGACGATTAGTTCACGTGATAGGACCCTGATAGGACTTAATTACGGTTACAACTTTATTGAGATCACACTTATTCCTATACTCTTTGGATCACACTTACGTATTGCACGGTTATTATGCGGTCTTATTCACTGACGTACCTTATTGTCTCGATGGGCTAAATTCAAGGAATTTTCGCTATCCATAACGATAGCCATCTTAGGTTTGAATAGGTAGTAGGAATACCGCATATCCATTTCGATTTCACTACCCACTAAGCTGATCGAAATGTTACATAATTAATATTATATGGTTGGCTATAAGCACAGGTAGGCCACCCTAATTAATAATAACATATTCATGAGTTCACCTTAGCATACATTTTAATGAAATGCGCTTGTTACATATTGGTTGAAAGGAAGTGGGAGTAGTCATGTAAAAAAAACACAATACTTAAATTTATATAATTATACATAAAATTGTTTCTAAATTCAGATAAAATTCTTACAAAACTCAAATGAGTTCACCCTTCTTTTATACTTATAAATGCAATGGAATAACAATATGTAATATGATATTTAAATTAAAACTCAAATTTTTATTGGTTGCGGACAATTGTAGGTCAAATTTACAAAGATTACACAGGAAAATTAAATGCTAAAAAGTCACAGTTTGTGATAAAATTATTTTTGTTCAGATTTATTATTACCTAACTATCCCTGAGTGAATATTATACATTGAAATATGTAACTCGTAATTAAAATACAATACAAAACTTTGAATTCCTGATATTATGATAGTCAAGACTATTCCACTTTTGTGATGACTATGTCACTTACTTTCTACGTAATCTTTTTTATTGTTCATGACTTACAATCAAGTTATACTAAAAGAATCTATATCACATGGTACCAAAATTATTGGAATAACTAGCGTTTGTACTATAAGGAGAACTGTAAGCCTCAAAGTTCTGTTTTCCCTCGCTCTCCCTTTTCTTCACTTTTGGGTTCTTCATACAAGCAGGAATTATCAGCGCCATGAAGAGCATTTTTGGTACAGAGATGACCTATCAAGTCCACACTGCCCTGATGATTCCAATACCATTCCTCTACAGCACTTTCATTCTCCTCAAGCAAACTCTCACACTGTGTTTTCATGTGCGTGATTTCAGCTGACGGTTTATCCCACAGCTCCAGTGGAATCCCAAGTTCTACTTTTACACCTTTGTCTACTAAGCCATGAAGAGTTTTGAATGTTTGGCTCATACCTTTAGCGAATCTGGTACTGTCTGTACGTTCTTTATGTACATTGTATTCTAGTACTCGTTCACATACACCCTCTAAAGATTCTATAAGCCTGAGTTCAGATTTTTGATATTTGGTTTTCTTTTTAGGCTGTACGTCGTCGACGGAGTAGCCAATTTCTATAACTTCACGTACTTTTCCGGTCTCTTCTAGGCGGCTCTGGAGTTCTGTGGCGAGGATTTTGCACACCTCGCAACGACTCGCATATTTCACTCCCACATCTTCTTCAGACTTCACTTCCACATCCTGAGCACATGAGATATAATTTAAACAAAATATAAACACACAAAATGTTTTAAAATACATTTTGGCGAGTATTTCACAAGATTAACACGTATATACCGGCGACTCGTCTAACCAGCACAAAATATAAATTGATCACTATGTCTTTCTAAACTGTGATCCTTCTTTTGTAGGTTTTTTTGGTTCCAGTCCCACTGAAAACGATTCTGCTCTGTTAATGTCCAGGGAGCAGTGTTGCCAGGTCAAATCTGCAAAAATCGGGAGATATTGCACCGAAAAAACAGTAGTGAGAAAAAGCAGTAAGTAAATGCTGAACTTACATTGAAACACTTAATCGATTTTCTCAAAACTTAGTCACATAATGTTTTGGATGTTATGTGACGATGCTAAAAAATTGTATTTTTAAACAACTTCAAAAAAAAAAGGAAGAGGTGCCCAATTTATTTTTTTATATGTAGGTATGTTACGGGATGACTCCGATCATTTGTGAACCGATTTAGATGATTTTTTATTGGAAACAGGGTACCTCAGCAGTGATCCCATTTAAATTTGAAGAAAATATTCCACCTCTAAAGGCAGCAAACTACGGAATGAATCCGATTTCACGCACTTTTTGGTAACAGATTTCAATAAAACTTGGCAAAAAGATGTAATTCCACGAACTTTAGCGATCGGTTTTTTTAGTACTCTGACCGAGATTATTTATGGCTTTACTCAACGGATAATCTAATAAGGGTCGTATTCCAGAACTCTACTCAATGCTCAAGTCAGGACTTGAGTATGATTTCAAGCACTGGAAATACGACCCTATTGGCAAGGACTTGAGTATGATTTCTAGTGCTTAATCATAATTAAGTTGTGGAGGTGCTGCTGGTGCTGGTGGCGTTCTGGTGGATTGTAATAGTGTAGTCCAAGTCCAGAGTTCTGAAATACGACTCTTAGGCTGAAATTCAGAGACGATATTTGAGTTTGAGAACGTGCTCCCAAGTGTCAAAATAGCGTCTTAGCGTGAACTCAATTTTTTTTGGATTCATAGTCGCGCTTTTCTTGCTAAGACCGAACTCTGACTTAGCTCACGCTAAGCCAAGCTTGAGTACGGTGTGTTGACTACTTGAGACACTTTTAAGAGGTTAGATTTATGGTGTGAACAGTGTGAAAAAATACAATTCTGAAGTGTTTCTACTTAAACCCAGTTCAATAGCTATTATAAGTGCTTTCGTAATGGAAAACGACCATGATGAATTGTTCGATTTTATCGAAAATGTCGAGACTTGGAGAATATGATGTTTTTGAAGATCCAATTCCGCCGACGCCTCATCAACCAAATATGTACCTAAGAAACATCAAAGACCCGTTCGAGTACTATGATGACAGGGAGTTAAAAAATAGGTACCGATTTCGCAAAGAAACTGCGAAATATTATAATACCGCTCTTGGAAAATGGGGCAACAGCTTCTTTAACGCAGAGGGGCCTGCCTATTGGTTTGGAGGTGCAAGTCCTAATAGCTTTGCGATTCTTTGCGACGGGGAGCATCCAGGTCTGTAGAAATGAATTACTTAAGTGAAATAAAAACGACCCACTGTCCAATTTCAGACACAACACTTGATTAATTTTACTATGTATTATGATTACAGGTTGTTGTGGGAGACTTGCACTACATTTCTCAACCGTTTGTAGAATTATTAAATTGATTGCTACAAACCTTGCCAATTTAGTTGACAGATTTATCAAATTTCCTGATAATTTGCAAGCTGTATCAGAGAGATTCCAAAATACAAGCCACCGCTATCCTGGCTTAAGACATATAATTGAGGCAATTGATTGTTCCCATGTTAAAATCAATAGACCACGACTCATAGAACATTCAGAGTCATACAGAAATAGAAAAGGCTATTTCTCAATAAATGTACAGGTTAGTAATTGCTTATAACGAAGGATATTCATATTTTGTGCATATAATACAAAGTTCAACCCACATTTTAGTGTAGTAAACTCATTAATTTCAAATATTTAATTTACAGGCAATTGTTGGTCCGG